CAAGATTTCTAATGCAGAGTTTGTCGGGGAACCCTGCCACAGCTCCTCACCTCCACCGGGCAATAACAACTTCGTTTTTCTCCTCCCCGGTAAAGAACCTAAAATTCAGCTCTTTTTACCCCGGGTGGGACTCGAACCCACAATCCCTGGCTTAGGAGGCCAATGCCTTATCCATTAGGCCACCGGGGCAGACAACGAGAGGAAGCTGCATGTCTTAGACCAGTCTCCATCGCCCAGCTGTGGTTCCCGCACAGCCTACCAGCCCCATCCTGGTTCTCCCCCGCCTCTCCACGGGAATCCAAGCTCGGGTTCAGATTTTGTCTGCTCCTGAGCATTCTCAGGACCCCAGAGAGACCGCGTACGTGCAGAGGGAGCTGAAAGACACCAAAGTCAGCTTTTGGCTCGGCCTTTTGGTCTAGGGGTATGATCTTTGCTTAGAGAGTGAGAGGTGTCCGGATCAAGTCCCTCGGGGAGCCTTAGCCTCCATTCAGGGGAGAACCCAAGTCCAGGGGTAATTAGTAGCGAAAGACGCTTTTGCGATGGAGCGTTTGGGAAGGGGCACGCAATGCCCGCTCAGCAACTGACTCCTCATCCCGAGCCCGCCGCCTGGGGAAGTGTTGGTCTTGGTCCTCCTCGCGGCTTTGTCTCTTAGACAATGGGTGCCGCTGTGTGGTCGGAGGCCTCTTAATAATGACTCTCCAAAACCCGCCCTCTGCATCCCCAGCTGGCTCCATGTTAATCTCAGGATCGCCACGTTGCGTGTTTACTTTCCTGCCCCAACATGTGTGTTGTTTTCCTTTTTTTAAAAAAAAAATCTGTATTTTAATTAAGTACACACACATAATATCTAGTAAACGCTTTTGCTCAATACCTAGTAAACGCCCGGGGCCAGGAGTTCGAGACTTCGTAAACCACTGGAGCATCAAAAAAAAGTTAAAGGAGAAAGTGACACCCTGCATGACCCGAGTCACCAGCGTCCGCCGATCGGAGGACATACCTGCAGCTGTGACTTTTCGCAGCCTTCACCCTGTGGAAGGACATCCCACGCGGCGCTGCCTGGCACCCGGACTAAACTCGGGTTCCGCTGGTAGACATTTTTTTTTTTTTTTTTTTTTTTTTTTTTTTGAGACGAAGTTTCGTTCTTGTTACCCGGGCTGGAGTGCAATGGTGCGATTTGGGCTCACCGCAACCTCCGCCTCCTGGGTTCACGAAATTCTCCTGCCTCAGCCTCCTGAGTAGCTGGGATTACAGGCACGCGCCACCATGCCCAGCTAATTTTTTGTATTTTTAGTAGAGACGGGGTTTCACCATGTTGACCAGGATGGTCTCGATCTCTTGACCTCGTGATCCACCCGCCTCGGCCTCCCAAAGTGCTGGGATTACAGGCGTGAGCCACCGCGCCCGGCCTGCATTGAAAATTTTATATGTATTTTATTTTATTTTGAGACGGAGTCTCACTCTGTTGGCCAGGCTGGAGTGCAATGGCGGCTCACTGCGACGTCCGCCTCCCGGGTTCAAGCGATTCCCCTACCTCAGCCTCCGGCGTAGCTGGAATTACAGGCGCGCGCCACCACCCAGGCTAATTTTTTTGTATTTTGGTAGAGACGGGCTTTCACCATGTTGGCCACAATGGTCTCGATCTTCTGACCTCGTGATCTGCCCGCCTCGGTGAGCCACCGCACTCCGCCTGTACTGAAAATTTTAAAGGCTGGGACTGGCGACAGAGCAAGGCTCTGTCTCAAAAAAAAAAAAAAGAAAAGAAAAGAATAAGAAAATGTTAAATACACTTTTACAGTGGTCATTTTAAAGGCACTCTCTCATTGCAAGAAATCTAAATAAACTAATAGGTGTTTTTTGTTTTGTTTTGAGACGGAGTCTCGCTTTGTTACCCAGGCTGGAGTGCAGTGGCGCGATCTCCACTCACTGCAACCTCCGCCTCCCGAGTTCAAGTGATTCTCCTACCTCAGCTTCCGGAGTAGCTGGGACTGCAAGTGTCTGCCAACACGCCCGCTAATTTTTTTCTGTTTTTAGTAGAGACCAGGTTTCACCATATTGGCCAGGCTTGCCTTGAACTCCTGACCTCAAGTGATCCACCCGCCCTCAGCCTCTCAAAGTGCTGGAATTAACAAGCGTGAGCCACCGCGACCGGCCTAGGTGTTCTTTTTTTGTATTTTAAAATTGTGTATATAATATGTATGTGTGTGTGTGTAAACATGTGTATGTATATATGTATACACCTACGTATGTATGTATGTGTATATATACATGCACATAGATACATATGCACAGTTTTATATATAAATATATACCAGGGCCGGGCGCGGTGGCTCAAGCCTGTAATCCCAGCACTTTGGGAGGCCGAGGCGGGTGGATCACGAGGTCAAGAGATCGAGACCATCCTGGTCAACATGGTGAAACCCCGTCTCTACTAAAAATACAAAAAATTAGCTGGGCATGGTGGCGCGTGCCTGTAATCCCAGCTACTCAGGAGGCTGAGGCAGGAGAATTGCCTGAGCCCAGGAGGCGGAGGTTGCGGTGAGCCGAGATCGCGCCATTACACTCCAGCCTGGGTAACAAGAGCGAAACTCCGTCTCAAAAAATAAATAAATAAATAAATAAATATATACCAAAAATATTTGCCATTTTTACCATTTTCTAGTGTGCGATTCAGTGGCATTAATCACATTCACAATATTGTGTAATCACCACCACTATATTATACATATATATATATATATATTTTTTTTTTTCTTTTTTCTTTTTTTTTTTTTTTTTGAGACGGAGTTTCGCTCTTGTTACCCAGGCTGGAGTACAATGGCGCGATCTCGGCTCACCTCAACCTCCGCCTCCTGGGTTCAGGCAATTCTCCTGCCTCATCCTCCTGAGTAGCTGGGATTACAGGCGCGCGCCACCACGCCCAGCTAATGTTTTTGTATTTTTAGTAGAGACAGGGTTTCACCATGTTGGCCAGGATGGTCTCGATTTCTTGACCTCGTGATCCACCCGCCTCGGCCTCCCAAAGTGCTGGGATTACAGGCTTGAGCCACCGCGCCCGGCCTCTATGTATTTTTTTTCTTTTTTACTTTGTTATCCTATGATCGGTTGATAGAGGTTACAAAGTTTTTCACCACAATAATCTGCTGGAGCCGCCAGTTGTAATGTGGGGCGTGACCAACTCACTATACCCCTGGAGGCTATATGAGCAAACCCAAATTGTCCTCAAGAAAGCAGGATGTCCGCAAACTGACAAACTGCGTCTGTCGCCAGAAGGAACGTTGAGGGCAGTCATGTCCAAGGTCCTGTGCTCCTTGAGGTTATCTACCTGAACACGTGGAACCTGTTGAACAAGGAAAGCAGTACCTGTGATAAATCAAGTAGCTGTAAGACATCACCCCCTCCTCCCTATTCTCTTTGCTTCATAAATACGAAGGGCTGTAAAAGCTCAGGGCGTTTGCTCACTAGAAGCAAAGAGCCCCTGACCCCTTCTTTTAAATAGAACCTTTTGTTTTTGTCTTCAATTCCGCGTTCGTCCTCCATGGTTCATGAGATAACTACGGCAATAATCAATTAAACTACAGTTGTCGCCGGGCACCGTGGCTCACGCCTGTAATCCCAGCACTTTGGGAGGCCGAGGCAGGCAGATTACCTGAGGTCGCGAGTTCGAGACCAGCCTCACCAACATGGAGAAACCCTATCGCTCCTAAAATTAGCCGGTCGTGGTAGTGCATGCCTATAACCCAGCTACTCGGGAGGCTGAGGCAGGAGAATCGCTTAAACCCGGAAGGTAGAGCTTGCGGTAAGCCGAGATCGCGCCATTGCACTCCAACCTGGGCAACAAGAGCAAAATTCCGCCTCAAAACAAAAACAAAAAACAAAAACTACACATGTTCTTTGACCCCTTTGGGGCAACTCCTCACCGCAAGCAATTCCAACCCCGCATCTGTCACGGTTTCCTTAATTTGTGAAGTCAATTCCCTAGTGGGTCCCAGTACTCGCGGTCTCTGGCTTAAGGCTCCGCAGTCCACCAGGGACCCGCCAGCGGTCTTGGGGTCGCCATTGCTGCTATTCTAGCCCTAGGTCCTGAGTTGCGCGATTGCAAGCGTAGGCGACATTCGAGGATTCGGCTGGGTCACTTATTTTGAGTGTCCAGGGTGCAGTACAAGGAGAAGAAATTAGTTTCGTGCAACGAGAAGAAAAACTTGAGTTGGCAACGACCACGAAGGGACTCGAACCCTCAATCTTCTGATCCGGAATCAGACGCCTTATCCATTAGGCCACGCGGCCCCGCGGGTGTCACTCGCAAAGCTTTTCCCATAAAGCTTTTCCAGCGCCTATGTTGTGCGTTTCAGCGCGCATGCTTAGAGTGAGGGAGGCCCCGCCCCCCGAGCTCCCGGGTGGGCGGGGCCCCGAGCTGCGCTCCTGCTTCCGGTCGCTGAGGGCGTTGGGCGGAAACTGCCGCCACGGGCCTGGGCTGCGAGTTCTAGCCCTGGCGAGCCTGCCAGATCCCACCCGCCCAGCAACAGGCCCCTCCGAGACGCCGTTTGGGAGCTCTTTCCCCCATGTGCCTCCCGCCGCTTTGGGTCAAGGGCTGCAAGCTGCTTCCCCAGCCCCTGTGCTTGCTCCATCACCGGTGAACCTGCAAAGGTGTGTTTCAGAGGCTTTTGGCCCCAGACTTTATTCTGGCCGCCTGGAAAGCGGAGGCCGTGTCTCCTGCGTTTCCATCGCCCAGCGCGGGGTGGAGGTGGGGCGCGTGTGTACAGGGACATGGCTGGGAGAAGGATATGCGGCCTTTTCCCGGGACTCCTCTCCCCTCGGACGCTACCGTAACCAAACCGCCAGCCCAGCCCAGCCCAGCCCAGCCCAGCCCATGTTGGGTTCCTAAGGCCCAGAACCTGGGCATTGGTCCCAGCTCGGTTCCCAGGGACACCATTGCGTCCATATGCCGTGAAGGCGCTTTACACACATTATCTCACTTATTTCACACTTCCTTGAGAACGGGAACTGTTCACGGCAGACGTTTATTGCACGCCCACCCCCACACTGCCACGCCTCGCTCTCAGATGAGGAAACCGCGGGGTGGGTGGTGGAGGGAGGCAACAGTGGCGGTCTCAGCAGCCCCCTGGTGGCCGCGGCGCTGTCAGACCTGGAGGCAGAGCCGGCGCCGGAGCGAGCTGCAGATCTCCAGGCAGGCCTTTCGGGGTTCATCGCAGTCGGGGCCCAGCACATCCTGCTCACACACCCGCCTGTTGACCTGAGGACCACAACCAGCCTGTGCCTGGGGCTCCAGCCCTTCCGGGCTTAGCCTGCCCCAAGGGAGGGCCCCTGGCTTGGTGCATTGTAAGCTCTAAAATTTCAAGGGCTGCCTGGACATCTTTGAGGCTCGCAGGGCTCCAGCGGCCTAACAGTGAATTCCTCCACTCTGGCCAGACATGTCCCGACCCAGCAGGACAGGCTCCCACACCCTAGTTCCCCTCTCAGCCAGACCAGCTGTACCTCACCTGGTCCTCACCCTAATGGACTTCAGCCCTCTGTCAGGCCTTGGAAATATTCAAACCAACCAACCACATCTGTCTATGGGAACCAGGGACATCTCACTCTCTTGCCACTACAAAGCCAGCCTCCCATAGGCCCTGCAGGTTCACCCTGCTCTGAGCATAAGCCCAGGTGGCCCCACATGGCATCCAGCATCCTCCTCCCCCTACTGTGGTACGTGGGACTAAGAACTACGGTCGATGGCATATATGCAGCGTCGGGCATCCTGGGTTTGGTTATTTTGTACTGTTGAGGGCAGAGGATCCCTCCTTCACCAATGGAGTTTACCAGAAGTAATCAGAACACCAGGGCTGGTGAGAAGGGCAAACCCAGCCCTTCACCTCTTGTCACCCTGGAACCTCCCCAACATACCTCAGTCAGCAGCTCCAGAAGGTCCCTCCCGGGGTTGGCTCTGAGGACTTCCACCAGGGTCTGGATAAAGTCTGAGCCCTTCTCATCCCGATAGGCCACATAGCCTAGGTCAGGGGACCAGGGCCAGAGCATCAGACCAGGGCCCCATCCCTCTGCCTTCCAATCCCAGGGGTCCTATTATTGGTGGAAGCGGGGGTACAAGCAGGCAGGACTTGGGGATTAGGCAAGAGAACAGGGCAGCAAACAAGGACTTCTTGCATCTGGAACAAGTTGTTGCTAGATATTTGCAGAATAAGCCTATGAAGAGATTTGTTACTATTTACTGCGCACCTACTGTGTGCCAGGCACTGAGCAGGGCCTCAGAGCAGGCAGATCTGCACTGGCCTTGTGGAACTCACAGCCTTGAGGAAGACTGCACACACAGTGGTTGGCACAGCAGCGCCTCACAGCGCTCACCATCACTGCTGCTACTACATGTCATAACGCATGCAGGGAACATGGCCTGCCCACAGCTGGGCTGCCATCTCTGTGCCCCAACCCTAAGCCCTTAGCTGTCCCTAAGGCTACTCCAGATCTTAGGTCAGGAAGCTGGGCCCTGTGTAACCACGGGCTTCCTGATGACCCATCTCCTTACCCTCAGTGGCTGCGTAGACCGTCAGGATGTCTGCCTGGTGGGAGCTCCCTGAAGGGGGGCCCCTGCCGGAGCTGTCTGCAAGAGGAATCAGTTCCAGTGATCAACATCCTGGAACTCCATCACCCACAGGGGCTCCCCATCTGTGGCTTAAGGGCAGCCCAGGGAGGTGGAAAGAATGCAGGGCAGGAAAGACAGAAGTTCAAAGCTCGGCCCAGCGACTTAACAGCTGTGACCTCAGAAAAGCTATTTGACCTTGCCGATTCCAGGGTTCTTGCCAGGCTCCAATAGGGGGAAAAGCTCCCACTTCCCAAAGGCCCTTGCAGTTTAGGAAGATTATTTTTCTTCCTGTTGTCTTGGCAAACAGGATGCAGGTGGCAGCCATACCCCAGCTGAGAGTCCCGGAAATGCTCTCTGGGCGGTCCCCACCACCAGCCCTGCCCAAGCCCAGGCCCTGGAGGGAAGGCAGAACCCACCTTGGGCCTCGGCATAGATCTGCAGGACATCTGCATGGGAGGGGACAGATGGAGGTGCCGGCAGCCAGCGCCGGTACCAGGGGAGAGCTGTGGGCCCCACACCAGCATCCCTTTTTCCTGGAGAGGGCAGGGAGAGGCAGATAGTCTCACTCTGGGGATACCTGGGGGTGCTCAGGGGTCTCATGGGAACATGGGGTCAAGATGAGAACCCAACCCCAGAGCTCCAGGGCAGGCTTGCCAGACTGAAGACATTCAGAGCGCTGAATGACAAGTGTTGAGGGTTAAGGGTTCAAGGTCATGGACTTGACCTCTAGGAGTAGACAGGACAAAGGGCAGGGAAGGACAGGTACCCAGACTCCCTGGAGGAGGTGGACAGTGAGTCCTGGGGGCTGAGGCTGGCCGAGGAAAGTGAGGCCAGGAGGAGGCCGGGCCACTCACCCCCACGGCAGGCCTGCAGCAGGAAGATCTTGGGATGTCCCCGCAGCACCTGACAGCGGCTCAGCTCCTGCATCAGTGCCTGGGGCTGCACCTCTTGCCCGTCAGTCCCCAGCAGCTGACCCTGCGGTCCCCCATGGGCCATCAGGGCCACAAGGGCACAGCTCACAGGGCCCCCGCAGGTGTCCAGCTGCTCCCGGAACTGGGCTAGCTCCTCCTGGAAAGCCTGGGATGGAAGCAATGTTGAGGCCTGGGCAAAAACCACCCCTTCCTCAGCCCTAGCTGCCCTCTGCGGGGCTGAGAAGGTTTCCCAGCCCCTGCCCACCTGGCTTCCCACCACCTGCCACTCACACACTCACAGGCCCAGGGAGGGCCCTCTTTTTTTTTTTTTTTTTTTTATTTGAGACAGAGTCTTGCTTTTGTTGCCCAGGCTGGCCAGGCTGGTCAGGCTGGTGTGGTGTGCAGTGGTGCCATCTCAGCTCCCTGCAACCTCTGCATCCTGGGTTCAAGCAATTCTCCTGCCTCAGCCTCCCAAGTAGCTGGGATTACAGGCACCTGCCACCATGCCCAGCTGATTTTGTCATTTTAGTAGAGACAGGATTTCACCGTATTGGTCAGGCTGGTCTCAAACTCATAACCTCAAGTGATCCACCCACCTAGGCCTCCCAAAGTGTTGGGATTACAGGCATGAGCCACTGTGCCCGGCCAGAAGCCCTTTTCTAACACCCTCCTCCAAGACTTGACATAGGCCCAGCTGCCTAGAGCCAGTTCTCCTCCTGCCCTGGTGAGGAAGCTGCACCAGGAAGTCAAGGTGTGAGGAGAGGACAGTGCACTGCTGGGAGGGAAACCAAGACTTGGAGCTAAGCTTTGAGCAGGGCGGTTGGGGAGGGCAGAGAACAAGCCAACGAGGGAGGCCTCAGGGACCCTGGAGACCAGGCTTCCAGAGGCAGGGAAGTGACGGCCTGACGCAGGCAGCAGGGAAGGCAGAGGCTAGACCTGTGGTACACTTCCTGCCAGTGATGGAGAGAGGCTCAGGAGAGAGGCCTCAGGTTCCTAGGGAGGGGTGGTCTTCCTTCAGAGCACCAGCGGTATTCTCGGCGTCCCCTCACCTGGGCTGTAGGGTTCGTCCTCACGGTGGTCTCAAAGCCCAGGGCCTGGCACAGGCCCCCCAGCGCCTCCACATCGTGCTGGGCCCCAGGCCGGCCTTGGATCACAGCCAGGAGGAGGGCAGCCTTGGTCTTGGACAGGTCATACTGAGTGCTGGGACCAGGGGCTGGCTGCAGAGAGGGTTAAGACACATTCAAAGTGGCCTGAGAGGACTCCAGCTCTTAGCCTCCCAAACCTGGGTCTCCCTGAGCCTCTGTCCCACTAGAAACCGTGGCCATGTGATTGGACACCTGCCCTGTACCCCTCACCTCAGGCCTCCAGGGCTCCACGCCTCCCAGGCACAGTGCCCCCCGCAAGGAGCTCTGAAGAACAGGGCAGCAGGTGCCCCCTGTGGACTCTTCAGCCACCCTGTGGAAGAGCTGGGATGGGGCAGAGAAAAGACTCAGCCAGACTCGTGGCTTCTGTGGTTTCTTCAGGGTCTCCTGCCAGAACACAGAAAGGAGGCCAGCAAAGGACAGGCAGGCAGGATGGCCTCAAGCAAGACCCAGGCTCCAGTTCAGGCTCAAGGTCATGGACTTCCCTGGGCATGGATGGCCTCAAGTGGACAGTGGCCACACCATTAACCTCTGCCCTGGGATCAGAGGTAGGGATGCTCCCTAGAGCAGGGCAGGGCAGGGCCTGTTGGGAAGGCTTACGGGGTGTGCACTGCCTTTCTGGGTGATCCACAGAGGACAGCTCGGGCCCACACCCCCTCACTTCCAAGGCTGCCCAGGGGCCACCCAACTCCCCAGTGAGACCTTCACCCCTGGAGACCAGACTTGAATCATTCCCAGTCCCAGTCTCCTGGGTCCTGCCATCTAACATAGCAGGTAGTTACTACCTGGTGTGAAAAGGGGCGGCCTGAAGTCTAAGCGTGGATGCAAGGAAGGGTGTCGTTGACAGCCTGGAGAGGACGGTGTGGGCTGGCTGGGACAGCAGGAGGGTGTGGCAGGCACAGGAAACTGCTTGGGCCAAGGCGTGGAGTTGGGAGGAGGCTGAAGTGTTGGGGGATCCTGAGTGGGTTGCGGGGATCCCTAGTTGGGGGTGGGGGACTCACACCATGTGCACAGACAATAAAGGTTTGTAGAATGAATGGGAGGGAGGACACACGTGAATGAATTTAACTGTAACTGGCTCTGGGGGCACCGCAGAACCAGGGGAGACAGCAGGCCCAGCCTGCTTCCCTGGGCCTACCCTCCAGTGTCCCCACCTCTGTCAGCAGCTGCACCAGGGACCAGTGAGGAGTGCGGCTACAGAGCTCTCTCAGGCCATTGAGGAAGGCTCCGGGCTCCAGGGTGGCTGAGTGGAGAAGCACTGTATTGGCCTGGAGTGAGGCCTGAGGCTCCCCTGCCCAGCCTCTGTGTCCCTGCCCAGCCCACTCACCACCAGGGCCACTCGGGAGCAGCAGAAAGACTTTGGGGCAGCCCTGAAGGACCCCACAGCTGCTCAGCTCCCAGACTAGCTGCTGTGGCTGCCACAGCTGCCCTCTGGGGGCCACCAAGGCCACTAGGGCACACCCCACAAGGCGTCTGTGGGCATCCAGCCGCTCCCGAAACCAAGCCAGCTCCTCAAGGAAGCCCTAGGGACAAGAGTGAGACCAGCCTGAGTCAGTTGGGGGGTTCTGGGTGGGGAGGAGATTCTGGGTCAGCGGAGGGTGGGGAAGGGGTGGGGGCCAATCCTGAGGGGAGGTGAAAGGCAAAGGCTCACCTGGACCGGGACCTCCCTCCTTTCGAAGCTCTCAAAGCCCAGGGCCTGGAACACATCCTTCAGGGCAGTGACTGCAGTGGCTGCCACCCCAGGGCTGCTGAGCATCAGGGCTGCCCTTGGACCCTGCACGTTGTACTTCCCCTGGGGAGGTAAGGCCAGAGCTGGGCTGGGCTAGGCTGGGGCTCAGCTAGGAGGCAGCAGTGGCTGGGCCAGGCAGTGCCTCCTGCTACCTTTCTCCCCAGGCTGTCTCGATTATCTGCCATCTGCGTGGCCACCTGCAGGGTCCCAGCTACCAGGAAGGCCATGGCGCCAGGCGGGGCTTCCTCCAAGCACCAAGCACGGAGCTCGCCTCCTGGCCCTGGGCTCCCAGTGCCCTGGGTCCTAACCCTTGCCCTCTCCCCTAACAACTGCTATCAGCTCTGCTTATGAGCTAAGCTGGACTCTGCCCCCTCCCTGGAACCCTGGTGCCTGGCCCTGCTCCTCCAGCCACGGCTCTATTCTCTGGCTCCTGCTGGTGACTTCCTTGCTGGCATTGACGTGCCCCCACCTGAGCCAGGAACCTGTGCCCAATCCTATTCTTAGCTCCTGACCCACGTGCTTATCCGATCTCCTTACACCCGAGTGTCTCCCTTTGGAGTTAGCCACCACCACCGAGAAGTCCTTGTACTGTTCCGGCCACCTGCCACACTCATGCACATAGCACCAGGTATTTCTACCCAGAGGTAAAAATCGCCAACTGGAATTAGCCCCGTCTGCAGCAAGACCTCGCTTGCTTCTTATAGGAAATGGGGACCATGGCAGCAATCGCAGGATGATGCATGCATGGGAGATTGGCTGAGAAAGGCCTAGGGGCAGAGAAGGCTGGCACCTGCACACCTGTTGCCAAGGGACCAGAGCATCTTGTCTCCACGTGCTTCCACCTCCCCTCAGGTAGGGTCCCTGATGCCACCAGCAGGTGAACCGGGAGGGACCAGCACGGGTGGAAGGAGGGGTCATGCCTGGGTGATCACCAGTTCTGACCACGCGCCCACCAGCTCTTGGTGGGCCCCCACCTGGAGCTCTTGGCAGGAAGAATTTGGATGTCAGGGGCTGCCAGGGAGGAAGGACAGGCCCACTGTCAGCCCCTCGTCCAAGGGACTCAGCTTGGGGCAGCCTTGGGTTCAGATCCCCAATGAGTGGCATGAGGGTCCCACCACTGACCAAGCAGCTGCCATCTCCAGACCCTTCTTCCTTTCCTGGTTGTGGAAGAGGAGTGGCCTGGTGAAGACCCCAAGTCCTGCTCAGCTCCCTGTTCTGCTGGGGCACAGACAGTGCCTCCAGAGCAGGGCAGGCACTGGCCAACACAGGGGGACAAGAGTCCCAGGGGACATGGCTGCCCATTGGGATCCAGCTGACCTGAAAGCCAAGGATGTGGCTCCTCCTGGTGAAGGCATAGCACCATGTGCCACCAGGACACAAGGTCAGGCCAAGACATTTATATTCCAGGTATCCCCACCTGCTACCACGTAAAGAACAGAATAGCTTGGAGGGAAGTTTCCACGTTTATTAAAACTCTTCTGTCACCCTTTGGAGGCCTGCGGGGCTGAGTCATTGTAGGGCCTGTGGTCCGTCCCTGTCCATGGAAGGCAGTGCTCAGGGGCAGCAGCAAAGTGCCAATGGAGCAGGGCGCCAGTGCGGATGGAGGGGGTTGCTAGTGCCGACGGAGCGGGGCGCCGTTGCCGATGGAGGGGGTTGCTAGTGCCGACGGAGCGGGGCGCTACTGCCGATGAAGCAGGGGGCGTTATTGCCGATGGAGCGGGGGAGGGCTAGCGCCGATGGAGCGGGGTGCCGATGGAGCGGGGCGCTAGTGCCGAGGGGGTGGAGCACCACTGCTGATGGAGTGCTAGTACTGAGTACCGTGCAGCTGCACCATCTAGAGGAGCGGACGGCAGCCAGACGCCCTGTTCTTCGTCTCCAGGGTTGTCACTGGAGCGACCATTATCCTGACCACACTGGTGGGCAGATGGCTCTCGAGGCTCATGCTGGGGCAAGTAGGCCAAGGGTAAAGGCAGGACAAGCCCATGTGGCCAGGACAGGGCAGAGTGGTCACAGCCTGGAAACAGGAGTGGGTGGGGCCAAAAAGCCCCTGCGGCTGTGACTAAGACCCGGGGTCCCACAGGTGTGGGTTAACTGTCCATCCCAAAGCCCAGCAGCCCCCTGGGGGACCAAGGCCAGTCCTTCATGCCCACCGAAAGGCACAGGATGGCAGGGCAGAGGCCTGACCCATGGACCCACCCCAGAGGGTGGAGGCCGAAGAGCCACAGTCAAATGAGGCTGGGGGGTTTCTGGGAAGGGACCTAGACCTGAGTCCTGGCCACGCCGCTGCTCGTCAGGAACGATGACGCGCCAGGAGACTAGAGGGGAGGAGCAATGCTAGGAGCAGAAGGGGGAAAGACAAGGTGAGGGGGGCTTCCGTTCCCTTTGAGTGCTGGGCAGGTCCTCAGAGCACAGCAGGGCAGGCAAGCTCTGCATGTAGGGTGCCCTGGAGTCCCTTGGACAGCCCGGGAGGTGGCCACAGATGGGAAGAAAGTCCCGTGGTCGAAACGATGTGCCACGGCTGGGCCTCCCCCGAGTTTCCGGCCAAGCTGGCTGCTCACCCCACGGGCTGGGCCATCTTGGCGTGCAGGCTCTGGTGTGCGATGAGGTGCGCGCGCTGCTTGAAGCTCTTGTCGCACTCTCCGCAGCCGAAGGGCCGCTCGCCGGTGTGCACGCGCCGGTGGTCCAGCAGGTAGGAGCGCAGCGAGAAGCTCTTGCCGCAGTCACTGCAGCCGAAGGGCTTCTCGCCTGTGTGGATGCGCTGGTGGTCGGCCAGGTAGGCGCTGCGGCTGAAGCTCTTGCCGCACTCGGAGCAGGAGAAGGGCTTCTCGCCCGTGTGCACGCCCTGGTGGCGCACCAGGTCCGAGGAGCTGCGGAAGCTCTTGTCGCACTCGGGGCACTTGTGCGGCTTCTCGCCCGTGTGCGTGCGCTGGTGCCGCGCCAGGTCCGAGCCCCAGCGGAAGCGCTTCCCGCACTGCCCGCAGCTGTGCGGCTTCTCAGCTGCCAGGTCCCGGAACTGGCGACGGCGCGTGGGTGGCCGTCCCCGTCGCGCGCCCCCCAGGGCCGCCTGTCCTGGCAGCGCTGGCACCACCTCCTCCAGCCGGGACCTCTCGCTTTGGCCTTTGAGCCCCAAACCTGCAAAGGGAAGGAGGCGACCTCTTCAGTCCCACTCGGTTCTGCGGCCAGAGCTGAGGTGAGCAAGAAACAAGGCTGGGGAAAGCTCCCTGGCCTCCAGGTTCAGACAGCCCTGGGCTCACACAGCAGAAGCCTCAGATTCCGCATCTATAAAACAGGGACGATGAAGAACTGTGGCAGAGCCGCAGTCTGAACACAGGCCAGCCCCCAGGCCACACTCGGATCCAGCATCGCACTCTGAACCCCAGCTACTCAAGCTCCGCAGCTGAACAGATTTACGGTAATTTTGAAAATGTTCCCAACTGTCACAGTCAGAAACTGAGGAACCAAGCTGGTCTACCTAGTGTGGCTCCCATCACCACGCAGGTTCCGGCTATCCAAACTCAACACACAACAGACCTGGATAGGGCTCGAAGCCCATCCTGCTAGGAGTGCGGACTGAACAAGATGATCCCTGAGGGTGCTGAGAAGGGGCCTGGCATGAAGAGGGACCTGATAAGTGCAGTTCTGATGAGCAGAAGGCCAGGCTGGTGAGCAGCTGGGGTTCCCCATCAGCACCCCTGGTCCTGGCAGCCCAAGGTGGCCTCACAACTATGCCTGATGCAAGTCCCAGTTGTGTCCCTTCAGCATCCACTGAGCTGAGTCTCAGGTCCCTTGTGTATAAAATAGGGACAATACTTCTATGCACTAGGTGTGAGAATTGAAGAAGTTGCCCTTATGAGTGTTCGGCGCAGGGCTGAGCAGTGCTGGTACCCTCTCGTGCTGCATGTGGACAGGCACAGAGACGGATCTTCAGCCAAGAAAGCAGTCACACAGGCTCTTGGCAAAACCTGGGAAGAGCCTGCTCTGGAACCAGCTAAGGGCAGGATGGGAAAGAAGACTGAAGTCCCAGAATGGGGAGCAGCCAGCCTGGACCCCAAAGGCCCTAGGTGCTTACCCAGAGTGGTGTTCCGGGAGTTCTCCCGCTTTATATCCCAGAAGAGATCCCTCTGAGCAGGGTCCAGGGTGCCCCATTCTTCCTGGGAGAAATAGAATGGAATGTCTCCTGGTGCCACAGGTCCCTGAAATGGGGCAAGAAGACCCAGTTCAGGGCTGCCTTGCTCAGGCCTCCCAGCAGCGCTGGTGGGCATAGGGTGGGTCAGATGAAAGAGGCCTGATGGGACAGTAAGTCCTGTTTTACAAACTCAACAGAGCTGAGCACCTTAAAGAAGACCAAAGGGACTGGTGACTCACATGGATGCCGGAGACAAAGCAGGTATCCATTGGCTCTCTGGTTTGCCCCTCTTTAAGAAGAGCAGGAAGCTGGGCTGAAGGAGAAGAATGGAGCCTTAGAAAGGCCAGCCTAGGCCTGACACCAACACCTTAAGGCCTCCCCAGCCTGTGTGCATGCACACATGCCCTAGGCTTCACAGAGGGAACTGTCCTGCCTGTGACCCTTAGGGCAATGCTGGTGCCAGTGCCCAGCCACTTTACCACCCACGGAACAGAGGCTTACTCACCGCCATGGCTGTGCTGCTCCTGGGGAACAGGTGGCTGCCTCCGTGCCCCTACTGTTGAGGGAGGCCCCTTGGCCTCAGATTCCTGGCCTGCAGCCTTGGGTTCCGCTTCCTCCAAGGGCACATCCTGTGCAGGAACCATAATATGCTCATCAGCCCGAAACCAGACCGGGGGAGACAGAGTTTATTTCCTGGGAAGGAGACACAGGACATGACCCTCAGGATGCTGGGGAGTGGGAAGGAGACCAGTGTGCCCCAGGAAAGTCCAGAGCAGAATGTGATACCAGGCAATGCTGTGTGCCCAAGGAAACTCCCTGATCAGTCACAAGGCAAGAACCAGCCTGAAAGGCCAGAATCACAACCACTTAGCAAGGTGGGAGCTGGGGACCCTCCTGCCAAAGGCAGAAGAACCCCATCCCCCAGCCACTCATTAGAACCTCCCCAGATGCATCCAATGTGAACAACCCAACATCCCACAAGGTAGCAGGGGCCCCGGACAGCTCCGCCTTCTCACCCCACTCTGGAGCTGGCCCTATACACACCCTCGTGTCCCCAGAGCCAGGCCTACAGCAAAAAGCAAATATAACATCTGCAGAACCTGAATGGAGCTAAAAACCTCCTGAATGAAGTGGAACATTCCCATTTCATTCCTACTACTGCCTTCCAAAGCCACAAAAAATAAATTGCATTTACTTTCGACTCTCTGTCTTTCAGAAAGGCACCCATGGCACGCTGTGCTCCTGTGCCCACTCCTGAGGGCTCTGTGTCTCCCCTACCCTGTCAACTTCTGGGAGACTTATCTCTGCAGGGTGCCCACTTCTCTTCAGCTCAGGTACCATCCAGGTGCCCCTAGATGTGGAAGGGCCCCTCACCTGCGGCCAGGTTTTCACTGGCTGCTTCTGCAGGTCCTCCACTAAGGCGACAGCCTCCTCGCCACTTCCTGGGTGCTGCTCACGGACCCAGCCCTGGATCTCCCCCGGCAGCGCTGTCAGGAACTGCTCCAGCACCAGCAGCTCCAGGATCTGCTCCTTGGTGCGCAGCTCGGGCCGCAGCCAGCGGCAGCACAGCTCCCAGAGCTGGCTGAAGGCCTCATGAGGGCCATGCGCATCCCCATAGCAGAACTGCCGGAAGCGCTGGCGGCAGGCTTCAGAATCCCTGCTGTCCTCATGCTGGGTGGATTCCTGTTCCCAGGAGGCATCTTCGACTTTCACAATCAGAAGCCCTTCTCCCTCTCCAGAAGCCTGGTCCTGGGGCTCCAAGGGGGCTGCCATTCCCCTGGCCTTGGGGTCAGGGCTGGTCAGCCTCAACTTGAGCCCCAGAACCTGTCCTTTCAGTCTCCCAGAGGGATCCCCTGTGGCAGCTGGGCCAGCATCTGGATGTGTGTTCCTGGGGAAAGAGCAAAATGGCAGGACTGAGGAGGAAGGATGTGGAATACATGAGCAAACACCGGACTGAAGAGCCATCCAGTCCCCATCCTTTCATGGCCCTGAAGCCTTTTCCAGGCTCTATTGGAATGCCTTGCTCACGTGACTGTCTCTCCTATTAACACAGGCCCGCAAGCTCTCATCCCAAAGTCAGAAATCCAAAACCCAGGTATTGCATAACTCCTTTGACAGCAAAACCCAATGTCACTCATTTCACAGCACCACTTGACCTGATATGAGCATATTTGTAATCTCAATTTATTCCACTAAATGTAAATGTTCACAATTATGGCAGAAACATTAATAACATATATCTTCAGTTTATAAAAATTCTTTGAACTATACCCAGTGGTGTGTTTTTCTGTACATATGTTATGCATCAATTAAAAAATTTTAACTGGCATGTTTCATTATTTAGTGTTGCCCCAGATCCCTCTGGAGATGTGCTTGATATATTGTATATGCACTGTATTATCTTTCTCAAATTTGAAAATCTCTGAATTCTGAAACACATCTGGCCCTGAGGTGTCACAGAAGGGCTCACAGACACCATCCAAAGCCCTTTATCCACAGGTACATATAAATGTGTGACACATGGCTGGGCATAGTGGCTCAGGCCTGTAATCCTAGTAGCACTTTAGGAGGCCGAGGCAGTCAGATCACGAGGTCAGGAGTTCAAAACCAGCCTGACCAACGTGGTAAAACCCTGTCTACTAAAAACAAAAATTAGCCAGGCATGGTGATGCACACCTGTAATCCCAGCTATTTAGGAGGCTGAAGCAGGAGAACTGCTTAAACCCAGGAGGCAGAGGTTGCAGTGAGCAGAGATTGCATCACTGTACTCCAGCCTGGGCAAGAGAGAGACTCCATCTCAAATAATAAATAAATAAATAAATGACACACTTATACCTTACATAGTCACTCTTTTGTTTTTTGTTGGTGGTGTTTTTTTTTTTTTTTACGTTGTTACTCTTTACAATGGTTATGAAAAGTGTATTTTACAATTTTCATTAATCGATGTTTTGTTTCAACAATAAAAATACAAACTGGCTGGTCTTGGTGGCTCATGCCTGTAATCTCAGCATTTTGGGAGACAGATACAGGAGGACTGCTTGAGGCCAGGAGTTCAAGACCACTTTGGGAAGACAACGTGAGATGCCATCTGTACCAAAAAAAAACAGAAAATGCTGGGTGTGGTAGGGGGACTCCTGTAGTCCCAGCTACTGGGGAGGCTGAGGAGGGAAAACCGTTTAAGTCCTGGAGTTTGAGGTTGATAGCACCACTGTACTCGAGTCTGGGCCACAGAGTGAGACCGTCTCAAAAAAAAAGTTAAGAAAAAAAAAACAAAAGAAAAAAATACAAACGATCATAATAAATAGGGGTGATGTTCAAACAATACAGAAATCCATAGAATTCTCCCTTCCTCAGTGCAATTGCACCTTCCCTTAACGGTCTGACAACTGCCGTTCCAGACTTTTTCCTGTGCTTTTCCTAAAAATGCCGTCCATGGGCGGGGGGCGGGGGTGGAAAGAAAAGAGAAAACAAGAAGGTGCTTGATGTGTTTTTACATAAATGAGACCTTACTGCACATACATTAGCGGCACTATGAGCTTCCGCGGTATGGATATGCTCCAGTTTCTTAATTAATACTGGAGTGATGCATTCGGGTTGTTTCCAATTCTTTTTCTCCACCCTAAGCGCTTTATTTATTCTGCTCCTCACAAGACCCCTGAAAGGTGCGCGCGCCATTCTCATCCTCTGGTGAGGGCCAGGACTCACCAGGGTCGCTCAGCAGGACACGGCAGGCAGGAAGGCAAGCCGGCCGGAGCCCCGCGGTGTCCCCCGCAGCCTCGCCCGCGGGGCGGGCGACGATCGTGCAGGGGCGTCTGCCCCGGGACCAAGCAGGCAGGGCGGTGCAGGGGTCCCAGCACTTTCTAGCAGTGCGCGCGCCCTCCGGCCTCTGCCTCGGGACGCAGATCCCGGCCGCTCGGAGGCGGGTGCTGGATGTCGGCGCTCAGCTGCCAGAGCCCGGGTCCCCGCCCCCGAAACACACTACGCCAACGGCGGTCCAGAAGACCCCACTTCCGCCTCCAGCTCCCGGCGCCGGAAGTCCTCGCGGGTCTCGCCGGGAAACTACGCAGCGCGTGCGCTGGGGCAAGCATTGGCTCCCTACATTCCCCGGTTCCCAAAAAGCCGTTAGTAGTCTGAGCCCGCCTTCTCCCTGACTGATGGCCAATGAACAGGAAGAATTCTCAGGCCGGCTATTAGAAGACGGAAACACCATACGAGTCATACACCTGCATCCGGGCGGAAAGGTGAGCTTCTGAGTCTAGGTTTGCTCTGTTCTTCGTCTCTGCTTTTGATTCACATTTTCCTGCGCCTCTGGCCTTTGAGCGGCAAAAAGGGGAAGCCAAGGCTGGCCCGAGGAGCGGAGAGGGCACATGGTGTAGCCACCAGTGGAGTGCCTGCTCCACCGGAAGGGATGCGCTAGAGCGACCTCTTCCTTCTGCCACCGTCTTTTCTAAACCAACTAGTAGGTGAGCGCCGAGAGGCCGCGGACCGAGAGCTGGAGCTCGGACCGGCAGCTGGAGGTCGGACCGGGGAGACTCCTTTCCAGCCTCTTGGGTCCCGCTCCTCTCAATTCCCTAGAGAGGCGTGGAGCTTCCTGGGAAATGCCATCGGGTAAGGAGCGCGGAGCCTCCTGCCGCGATCCCCTGTGTGGGGTCACCTTAGAAGGACGCAGGAAGCGGGACCCTGACCTGGCCGGAGTCCCGCGCTCTCCCACCAGCGGCTTCGTCCACGAGGAGCTGCGGGGCAGCAGGGGTTCCGGGACCCGGAGGGATCCAGAACATAGGGGCTCGGGGTTCTCTTTTCCATAATCTCGGATCCTCTCCCACTCTCTTCACTCCTAGACCAGGAGATGATCTCAGGCTACGGATTTCTTTCTGAAATGGAAAGAGGTTTCTTGGTTTCTTTTAATTTTGCAGGAATTGCATGCTTGGAAGAGAAAATTAAAATTAATTGGAAAAGCATAAAGCTATCTTTCTTGTGGTGGCCAGAAGGCTTGCCGTCTCACTCTGCTCATAATGTCACCCCCTCAAAGAGGCCTTCCCCAGCTCTGTAAAGAGCCAAACAGCCTCGGTTCTGCCTTATTTTTCTCCCTAATGTTTATCACTACTCGACATTATATACTTGTGTAATATTTGTTTCCCACGACTCAAGGATAAGTGTCCATGAGGGCAGACACTTTTTTGGGGGGGGGGCAGAGTCTCCCTCTCAGGCTGGAGTACAGTGGTTCGATCTTGCTCACTGCAACCTCCGCCTCCCGGGTTCAAGCGATTCTCCTGCCTCAGCCTCTTGAGTAGCTGGGAGTACAGGCACCTGCCACCATGCCTGACTAAATTTTTGTATTTTTAGTAGAGATGGGGTTTCACCGTGTTAGCCAGGATAGTCTTGATCTACTGACCTTGTTATCCGCTCGCCTCAGCCTCACAAAGTGTTAGGATTACAGGTGCCCAGCCCTGTGAATATATTTCTAATACAAATCAGGAATTGCTCCATAATGTTTTGTTGACACAATAGTACATCAGGGATATCTTTCCACATCAGCATGTATAAATAAAATTCATCTGTTTTGCAAGCTGATAGTATTTAATACAACAGAATTTTCATATTTTAAGTCCCCTACCCTTGGACATTTAGATTGTTTCCATCTTTATGTATTTGCAAATATGCTTCTACAGATACCTTTATACATTTCCTTGAACATTTCCCTGAGAAAAACTATAAAGAGAATTGCCAAATTACTTTGTGTACTTATTTCCAAACTGTCCAGAAAGAAGGGAACGCTTTGAACTTCCACTTGAAAATCAAATGTTTACCTTTCTGTATTTCTCCTGCTTTGGACATTTACAGTGTTCAGCTGTTGTTGTGATCATTCCAGTTCAATTGTTAAACAGCTTGATGTAGCGTCCCCATAAGTCCCACAGTAATAAATATTAAACTTTTTGGGTTTTTTTGGTGCAGTGGTGCAATTTTACGGCTCACTGAAACCTCCACCTCCTGGGTTCAAGCAGTCCTCCCACCTCAGCCTCCTGGGTAACTGGGATTACAGGTGCCTGCCACCACACCGGGCTAATTTTTGTATTTTTAGTAGAGATGGGGTTTCACCAGGTTAGCCAGGCTTCTCTTGAACTCCTGACCTCAAGGGATCACCTACCTCGGCTTTCCATAGTGCTGGGATTACAGATGAGAGCCACCACCATCCTATTAAACTTTTAAATTATGATAGTTACCATGTATAGAGTGTTTATATGTCAGGCACTGACCTAAGTACTTTACGTATCCTGCCCATTCTGTGCAACAGCCTAATGGGAGAAATTCCATGAATATAGTTAACCATTTCCTTGATTTCTGGGGAAGTTGGATATGTTTTCTTTTCTCAGGGATTATTTCTATTTATCCTTTTGTGAATTGCCTGTTGTTATTTCCTGTTATTTCCATTGGGATATTCTTGATGTATTTGATTTTATATATTAAGGATGTGTGAGCACAGTCTGATACTCAAGTATTTTATTTGTTGAAGACATTGACCTACCCTTTAAAATATGTTACAAGTATTTTCTCATATTGTGGTTTATCTTTTGATACCAATCACATGCTTGGATGTACGTTTTTTATTGCAACAAAGGAGTTTTAGATATTGAAGCTCTCATTCTTTTCTCATATGGTTGATTCCATTGAAGTCTGACTAAAGAGCTATTGTACTCTAATGTTGTATTTTTCGGTTTTATTTATTTATTTTTTGAGCCAGAGTCTTGGTCTGTTGCCCAAGCTGGTGTGTGATCTCTGCTCCCTGCAACCTCCACCTCTCAGGTTCAAGTGGTTCTCCTGCCTCAGCCTCCCAAGTAGCTAGGATTACAGGCATGCATGCTACAACGCTGGCCTAATTTTTGTATTTTTAGTACAGACAGTGTTTCACCATATTGGCCAGGCTGGTCTCTAACTCCTCACTTCGGGTGATCTGCCCGCCTCAGCTTTCCAAAGTGCTGTGATTACAGGTGTGAGCCACTGCACCCAGCTGACTTCTCGTTCTTACTTCACTAAATTCTATCATATAGCGTTCTATTGTACAGTAGGGTGACAGCAGTTAACAGTAAGGTAAGCTTCAAAATAGCTGGAAGAGAGGATTTTGAATGTTCACACTGTTACCAGGAATTCTGCATTAGGATAGATCGTTTGACTGAGGAGATCAACAGAGCTGGAACTCTGGACCAACAATCTTGGCTCTTGTAATAGTGAGCAAAGAATTGCAAACTAACACCAAAATGCAGGCTCAAAGCAACGTGTATTGAAGCACAGTACCACTCAGACAGAGAGCGGGCTGATGTCTGTGATACGAAGCCAGCAGCTCTTTAGCAAAACTCAAGGTGCTTTTAAAACTCCTGGGGTTTGTGGGGAGGAGTTGAGGTTGGGGCTATGTAAAAATGACAGGATGATATCATAACTAAAGTTAAACTGCTCATGTTTTTACCCATAATTTGTTAAGAAAAGTGTGGGGTGGGGCACAAAACCACATGTAAATTTTATTATAATGACAGCATACTGAGCTTGGCATTAACTTGAAGATACGATTCTCTGTTGCTGGATATGCACCACTTTAGAGGACTTCCACCTGTGCCCTAGTTTATCCTACAGGATGTGCTGGGCGCAGGCTGCACCACAAACTCTATCCATTAGCATGGAGTTGGGGCTGAAGTTAGGTGGGCCAGGGCCTGTCTTAGTGACAGCTTTTCTGCTCTTCTTTTTCACCCACTCCCAGCTGCTAATGTCTATCTAACCACCTAACATCACCAAAAAAAAAAAAAAAAAAAAAAAAAAAAGCGGGGGGATATGCTGGTTACCCCAATTCAATGATTACCTAACATAAGCATGTATTGAAACATCACATTGAACCCCATAAACACATACAAATATGTGTCAATTAAAAAAACATGGCTGGGCCTGTTTTAGAATTTGATAAAGTCGCTCTGAAATTAATCATGAAAAATGCACTAGTCAAGAAATCTTTTACCGAATACCAGCTCTGCTGGAGAGATTCCCCACCCAGGCAGCGCTGAAGGAAATGAGAGGCAGACACCCAGATAGAACAACAAAATGGGTCTATTTTGGGGGCCAGCAGCCTTCTGAACTGAGAGCCTCAGGGGCTGACAGCATTCCAGGGTGAGGGCCCCGAGCAGATTCTGATCCATGTATTTATCCTCTCTGAATAGGTTATTATTATTAACAGACAGGAGTTTATTTTCTCATAACTCAAAAACATACCAAGTAGGCAGCTGTTGCCTGCTTACCACTGACTACAGGTATTCTCCATGAGGAAGCCATGGGGGCAGGGGCAGGTATTTCAAAGAATTGTTTTAACTGGTGTATGATACTTATATATTGTCCTGCCAATTTGGAATGCCCCAAGTGGTTTTCCACTTGCCAGGGGGACCAGTTAGATTTTCCTTGCCACCTTTCTTCCCAGCAAACAATATAGTATATCATACGCTCAGTATTCATCAATATTCATGACAGTATTTCTCAACAATATTTAAATGTGGGAAACTGCCCTATCAAATCCTATTCTAAAACTACTGGAAGGCCAGGTGCAGTGGTTCACACCTTCAATCCCAGCACTTTGGGAGGCCAGGATAGGTGGATTGCCTGAGCTCAGGAGCTCTAGACCAGCTTGGGCAACATGGTGAAACCCTGTCTCTACCAAAAATACAAAAAATTAGCCAAGCATGGTGACGTGCACCAGTAGTCTCAGCTACTTGGGGAGTTCAGATGGGGGAATCACTTGAACCGGGGAGGCAGAGGGTGCAGTGAGCCATGATCGTGCCCCAGCCCTCCAACCTGGGTGACAGAGTAAGACCCTGCCTGAAAAACAAAAACAAAAAAACAATGGAATGTAGAAAGCCATATAACATAACTGGAAATTGAGAAACAAGTCTGTAATAGAGTTTGTTTTTCAGTTGGTTCGCTCCCCCACCCCACCCCCACGGGACCGAGTGTCACTCTGTCACCAAGGCTCAGGCTCACTGCAACCTCCACTTCTTGGGTTGAAGGGATTCTTCTGGCTCAGTCTCCTGAGTAGCTAGGATTACAGGCGTGCACCACCACACCCGGCTAATTTTTTGTAATTTTAGTAGAAATGGGGTTTCACCGTGTTGGCCAGGCTGCTCTCGAACTCTTGACCTCAAGTCATCGGACTCCCTCAGCTTCCCAAAGTGTTAGGATTACAGGCGTGAGCTCGCGTGCCCACCCACACCAG